AAACCTAAACACACACACACATACACACACACAAACTTTTGAGCCAGGGAGATAGCTCAGTAGAATAAGTGCTTTCCTAGCAAGCATAGGGTCCTGAGTTCAATCCCTGGTACCAAAATAAATAAATAAGGTGCCTCAGATGTTTCACTGTAATGACACAAAGTTGACCAGTATAGGCCAGGCTGTGGGACCAACCAGCACAGCTTTAGTGCTATTCCTGCTCTAGCCCCTCAAGGGAGCTGGGGCCTCATATGTTCTAGAGCATCTGGCTGTGGCAGGTTAATAGGTAAGAAGCTGATGTTCAGTGTCAGTGGACTCAATGTCCACCCAACTCATCCCCTCAAGTACGTAATGCACAGGGCATGCATGGAGCCTGAAGACTTGGGGAAGCCTGTTGGCCTATCATTAGGAAGGAAAACCATGGAATGCTACTAAAGATACTGCACATTGTGTCTAAATTTAGACTAAATATATATAACTAGTATTAAGTTGTTTCTTGAGAATTTGTTTTCACTGGGTATGGAGGGAATCTCCCACAAACACCTTGTCTACATCCACAAGTTCTCTAAACATACAGCCTTCATTTGGGAGTCAATGGTTTGTTCTGAAGACAAGGAAAGCATGACTGGTGAAAGCTCCAAGTGGTACTGGGGTGGAGAGAACACAACCAGCAATATCAGACATCTTAAGAAAGCAATAACAGTAGAAAGAAAAATGTGACTTTTCTCTCAATAATTCATAAATGTGGAAAATTAAACTGTAGTTTTGGAATGTTTGTCAAAGCAAGAAGAAACCTCACAACCTCCAGACAGAACACCCATTTTAAGGTGAGTAATTGAGTCCCAGAGGACAGAAATGATCGCCCACATGCCCACCACCACGAGCGAAACAAGCAAACTTTCGGACGCACGTCTCCTAACTCCTCTTTTACACCTCCCATGACCATTAGAATAAAGTTCTGTAAACCTCCTCATAAAAACTGGCGAAGTACAAGGAATGGGGGGCAGAGTGCCTGCACCAAGAGGCCCAGGGGCCGAAGTTCTTAGGAATCTGCAAGTGAACCATCAGGTCCCCCTTATAGAACTTTGATATCCACAGAAGGTGTTACTTTCCCAACCTTCTTACAGACAAGGGAATCCCTCAGCCCTCTCAATCTACCCAGTCAGAGCCTCGGATCCCCACCCATTCTACCCTTTCCCACACCACGTCTCCTCCCGCCAAAAGCCCACATACACCTCAAAACCAGCTTAAATTCCAGTCTTCTATTAACCTTTGCTTCATTTTTTTTCCCACTTCCCCTCAAATATAAATTAGTTTTCCTTTTATAAATGCCAGGCCACATTCCTAATTCCCCTGTAGATTCTTATACTATTTTATGTATTATGGCTGTTTATTGTTTGACTTGACTCTTCTACTAATTCTTGAAAGATAGGGAGGGCCCTTTGGATAACATTGAATACCTCTTGGTTATGGCTTCTTTCACTCACTGGATGACCAACAAAGGCGTGTTGAATTGCTAAGGAAATCTTTCTGTGCTAAGCTCAGCCTACTTTTTCAGGCTAAAGATGGAGCACAGCTGGGAGCTACCGTTTTTGTGTCCAAGCACTTTTCTTATTTTCTCTTTCCTTATTAAAAAAAAAAAGTACAGCCAAGAACTCCAAATCAAGGCCTTTATTGAGGACAGTGGTGGGATTTGTTGGTATAAAGTGCCACCAGGGGCATTGAGTGAGTGTCCAGTGTCCAGTGCCTCAGAGACACACCCTAGAGCACAGTCCAAAAGAGTCAAACAGTGTCACTATGGAGTCCAGGGATCAGTGACAAACCATTTCAGGGGTAGAAAGAGGCAAACTGAGGTAGCACGAGGGAGGAGGACTTCTCGGTGTATGGGAAGGGCAGGGCGGCAGAGGCAGCAGGTGCTCACGGTGCCTCGCAGTGCCACTGTTCCAGCCTGTCAGAGCAGAGTGGTTTGTGGGCCAACCTGACAATGGAGAAAGGGGAACTGTGAGCTGGCTGACTGGGTCTTGGCTGGAGTTGTAGATGAAGCTAGCTTCATCCTCAGGAGAGCCAAGGTGGGTGGAAAGCACAGAAAGATTTTCCTAGACAGATTGTAGCGGCTACTAGGTCATCTAGAAGAGCAGGGCTCATTTTCTAAATCCAAGAAAGGTGTAAGGTAGTTGTAGCCCAAGATATGCAATGATACCAATGGCCTGCTTTAGGGTATAAATTTAAAGAAGTGGTGCTAGAAACTCATGGCCAGGAAAAAAGAAGTCTGGGATGTTTCATTAGAAAAATTTGTCCACACAAGATCACAGCAAGGAAGGCTTAAAAATGGAAACGTGCATCTGCTAGATGACTTTTGTCTTGGGCACTATATTCTAGATTAGATAGCCAGGAGATAGAGGAAAGAGTGATGATGGATCAAGGGGGTAGGAGGAAGAGGAGTGAGAAAAACAGAAAACAAAAGTAGGATTCACCAGTGATCAATTCCTTTGATGTCCAGGATCTTCTTGGCACACATTATGTCATCAGTAAGGTCATCATCCAGGAGCTCTGGCAGGAGTTGTAAGGAAAGGAAGGAGAGCTAAGAGGTGTTACCCAGAGAGATAATGAGCTCCCCTACCTCCTGGGTCTCATTCTTCTCTAATGAAGGATGATGCCTGGAAGCTTTCTACATGAAGGGTTGACATAGTAATGGCTACCCATGAGTAAGGACTTCCTTCAGTTTCCTGGGACATCTCTGGAGAAATCAGCTCTATCCACTGAGAACCAGAAAACAGAGAGCATCTGACTTCAACACTCCCAGAGAGTCCACTTCTGAACTTCATGATATTTGGTCTGAGTCTTTGGTGATCATGAAAAAACCAAATATCTTCTTACATAGCCATGTTACTCTCCATCACAGAAGGTGGATGGATTCTAGCCAGTTGTAACCCTGGAGCTGGAGGTACGCCTGACCCCAAAAAAGAGATTACCCCAGGGGAAAGCCTCCCAAAAACCTGGAAAATGGTAAGAGTCTACTTACTGTCACATGAAATACCACAAATGCTCTTTGACTGAACATTCCGGCTGCTTGCACAGAAATCTTTATCACTTATCTGGAAGAGTCCATACTCTGTGTTTTTATTATTTTTTACTTTGGCTTGTGTGTCATACCCACTGACATGAAATATGATGCAGGTCCCTGAGGAGAAAGAGCAGGCATCTAGATCAGCGCAGTGAGGACCTGCAGCTCCCAGACAAGAAAAAACAAACTTCTAGCCAAGCAAAGCACAGAATATCTTAATGAGTTGAAGATAGTTTCCAAATGGATCAGACATTGGCAGAAAGATTGGAGAATAAATTGAATAAAAGAGTAGACAATAGCTGAGAATATCAGAAAATTGTTAGATAACTAAGCGAAAGTGAAGGAGAGGAGGAATGGACTGGGAGAGACCTCCGGGGAGTGGATGGGATGAGGGAAGAGAAAACTCACATTCAGGCAGGGTGACGTTTCGGTAGCCAGCAAGGTCGCGCAGCTCATGAGACAGTGCACATTTCGTGAGTTGCTTGGCCTGAACGGCAGGAAACAGGATGCTAACCAGAAACAGCGGGAAGAGAGACATTGCTGCAGCTGCCCCTATGGACCTGAGATGGGGACACCACTCGGCTGCAGCTCCTTTTATTCACAGAGAGACCTTCAGGAACACTGGCGCCAAGCCCTCTGTCCAGGAAGAGGATGGAGACAGACTAGTCACGCCAAGGCAGACACACTGAGTTTGCCAGCTTCCTGCCATAATGTCACCCCACTTTCCTTCCCCTTCCCCAACATCTAGTCAATACTGAGAATTGTTCTCACCTATGCTAAGTTCCAAGCATAATTCTACTTCCCCCTTGGCTTCGATTACATCTTTGTTTCTTGTGGGGATAGTTCTAGGAAGCAGTATTCAAGGAGCAAAGGGATCTTCAGGGCCAACACAAATGAGGCACTCATAAAATACAATAAAGGTGCCTAGCCAATCTGTTCTCCCCGCCCCTTACAGAATGTGGAAAGGGAGTGTATGTCATCACATCCAGGATCAGAGCTGGCACCTGTCTAGCCAAACCAGATGAGGAACAACATCCAGGGAGAAGCCCTTGATATGGTGGTTTGTGGCTGAGGAGCTGAAGAGGCTATCGGAAAATGCTTTTTGAGTAGAAAGAACCAATACAGTGAAAATGGCCATACTCTCAAAACCGTTATACAGATTTAATGCAATCCCAACCAAAATTCCAACAGCATATCTCACAGAATTAGGGAAATCAATCCTAAAATTCATTTGGAAAAGAAGAGACCTAAAATAGCAAAAACAATCATGCACAACAAAGGTAAGACAGCACTTGAAATTATACTACAAGCTACTATGATAAAAACAGAATGGGCTCTTTCCCATCTTGCAAGATGGC